AGCTGCGTCGTTCATGTCCTCATTTGCCTGCCCCTCCTGAGCTGCGTCGTTATTGCCCTGTTTGAGGCGCCGGACCGCCTCGTAGGAGGGGTTCTCGAGGGGCACCCCGTCCTGGAAGACAATTTCAAAGCTGAGGTGGGGGTACTCATAAAACGCTTGTCCACGAAGGACTTCACTAACCTTGAGGAGAACACAAAAACAAGCGTCCTCCTTTTTAGTCCCCGTGTTCAACTCAACACTGTTGAGAGATACACGTATGGCATTCACATAGTCGAGGTAGTTAACTCGGAGGTTTTTTTTCCTCTTCTGCATTTTTGCTAGGGTCAAATTAAGGAGTTGTAAAAGGGATGTGTCTTCACTCACGTCCTGGTGAGTCACAAACAGGCCGTCATTCACGAGGGTAACTTTTACCATCCAACAGATATTGTCATGGCGGATGGTTGTTTTATTCCCTTGATGTAGCTTGGTGTACAGAGGTGCCTTGAGTAAAAAAATTTTTCTTTTTTTCAACATGCTAGTTAATTTATTATAACTGTAGAGCCATATGTTGGTTGTCTCATTTTCTTTTATCTTGAGGAAGCGGTAGTTCCCGTGAAGAATTGATTCGACCCCATGAAGAAATATGTAGTCTCTGTGTAACATGTTCTGATCAAAGTTATGTTTTGCGACTCTTTTTACTTTTAAATTTTTTTTTAATTTATTTTTACATTTTTTTAATTTTTTGTGTTCCTTTGAACATATGAGTGAACAGGAGCGCGCTTCACAGAAGGGGCACTTGTATTTGTATTCGTTCGTGTGGCACACACAGCAGAGGTTTCCACTTGGGGGATTTTCTCCCAGGGCTCCTTGTGAATGATTCACCACTCCGTCTGCTTCTTCATGTTCTTCTAATTCGTCCTCGTCCGAGTTGGCTGCCGTCTTTGCCCCTCTGCAATTTTTAAAATATGCAGCTGCGTCTTTTAATATACTGCAGGTTATTTCATTGTAGGATTTGCTCCTTGGGTTTTGGGGGTGGGTGAATTGGCTCAGAGGTTCTTCTTCTGCTTCTTCTTCTTCCTCCTCCTCCTCCTGCTGCTGTCGCTGCTGCCGCTGCCGCTGCTTCTGCTCTTCGTGGTGATGCCCCTCCTTGACGCAGTCACTGTGGCTAGTGGAGTCCTCCTCTTCTGTGGGGTCCCACCCCGGAGGTACCTGCGTCCACTTCCTCTTTTGCCCCTTACGGAGGTTCCCTTCCTCAGAATGGTTAATCAAAGAAGAGGCATCACGTTGCACCGCGCCTTCATCTCCCTCGTGTGGGGTCTCCTCCCTCCATGGAGGCGGTGCCGCATATAGAGTTTTATTTGCAAAAAAAAATTTCCCATTTGAACGTCCACCTCTGGTTGGTCGGTAGCGTGAGCGGCGAAATCGGTCAGAGGGGTAGGCATGGGTTGTGAAATTATTTCCTCTCCTGATCTTCATGTGGTGACTTGTGTTGCCATTCACTTCACAGTAGGGATGCTGCGGGTTGGCGCTCCTCCTTCCTCCTCCCTCTGTATGGGTCCCATCAAAAGGAATGGGCGCTTCATCAACCCGTCCTCGACCTGTTGGGGGTAAAAGACTTGAACTGTACCCTTCCCCCCTACTGTGCGTGGCAGCCCAGTCGTCACTGCCATGGTTATGTTCGTTCGTGGTAAGAGCAAAGTTTCCATTCGCCTGGTTGTAATGGTCCTCCGGGAGACTCATCCTTTTTTTTTTTTTCCTCCCTCTTAAAAAAAAAAAATACGTGAGTAAGAAATTGGGGGAAGAACTATTCTTTGCCGTCCCTTTTATCTGCTTGGCCAAATTTGCAACAAAAAAAAACTTAATGATTGTTGCCGCTGGTTTTGCGACAGGTGGAGTGGTCAATCTAAGGAAGCGACGCGACGCGAATGGATTCGAAGACGTGGGCGTTCTCTTTATTTTTTGTCCCTTGGTCCTTCCGAACGCATCAGAGGTCCTCCTCAGGCACAAAACGACGTGAAAAAAAATAGTTTGCTCCTCGGATGCTGCCACGTTGGCGTAAGTTGCGGTGAGAGCGGCATATAATCATCGCGAGGGGTTTGTATACACTTACATTTTGAACAGTTGTAAAAATGCTTCCTTTTTTTGAAAAGTGTTGTAACGCTTCTTTTCTATTTGGGCATCGCGGGTGACGTTATTTTTAAAAAATATGCCAGCCCGTATGCGCACCACGACGGGGGGATTTTTTTTTTTTTTTTTTTTTTTTTTTTTTTTTTTTCCTATACATAAATGGGCAAAAAAAAAAAAATCCCCGCACTTGGCATGTAACAGAATCGGGTGAAGGAAAAAAGATCGTTGCTCATTTAGGACAAACGTTTTTTTTTTGCCTAACGTGGTTATGGCGAAGACTAAAAAAGAGACGAGCCATTCCTCACCCCCTTTGCGGCTGCATCCCTTTCTGTCCGCTGTCACTCCACAGAAGGTTTTTTTTTTTTTTTGTTAAACGGGACGGCAAGAAAATAAATGCAAATTATAATTCCACATGTAGTACACTTTTTTTTTTTGTTCATAACATTTAAATAATTCAAACTTCCTTTTTTAAACTGCGTCACGTGGGCGTACCATTGGCCAGTTGGGTGTTGCAAAAAAAGTTATACGTCGCCCGCGTTTCATATAAAAATCATTATATATATATGAGGGGTTGGCGGGCCACCCACACCCCCACCTACGCGACTAGCAAATTGGAGGTAGACAAAAAAAAAAAAAAAACACAAAAAAAATAAATTTGTAAAAATGGGGAAAAATCACAAACGTGATTAAAGAAGACAAAAAAAAAAAGGAACGTATAATGCGCTTCAAACGATGGCAGCGAATCATTTCCCCTCTCTCCACTTAAGAGAAAGAGACGCGTTCAGCGACGGTACCTCTTCTTTTTAAAGTTAAAGTACAGCTGGAGTATGCCTTTATCGAACACGTTGCGGAAGCCCCTGTGCTTGTCATATGACCACTCCGCGTTCACAATCTGGAAGGCAATGTCCAGGTACGGAGCTCCGCCATGAAAAACGATTAGAACTGTACTCTCATCATCTGTAGGCTGCAACTTCCACGAAGGCTTATCCTTCTTATTAAGCAAATTCAAGTAAAAAATATTGAATTTATAACCACATATATATTTTGGGGGTGGGTTTTCATAATCATAATGGGTTTTATTATATTTGTTCCAGTCAAAGGACGTTTTTATTCGATTGAAGTAGAGAGGCTTCCTGGTTGCAAGGAGGGCTTCTGAAGATAATGGGAGGCTGCTCCTTAAAGGATTAGGATAGGATGAGTGAGGTGTGTTGTGGTGATGGTGAGACACATCCTTCATTGTGATTTCTCCCGCGCGCCCTTTGTTCTTCTCCCTCTGTACAAAACGGTTATATACTTCTTGATCCTTCGCGAAGAGTTTCCTCAGGAGGGCCTGTTCCGCACTGATGTTAACATCGACCTGTCCTACGTGGTCCCCTTTGAAGTACCCCCTATTCTCTCCACTGGGGTCTGATTTTCCTTCTTCTTCCATCCTCAGTCTATTCCATATGTCATTATTCATTTTGAGTCTCTCCTGGAGTTCCTCCTCCGCTGTGTAGATATGCGTCTCGCTTGGGATTTCCATTTGGGTGAGACTTGCTGGGTGGATTAGCTTCGGGCTGTGGCATTCGAATGGCATGGTGGTTGTTACCTTACCCCCCCTACCTTCGTCCTCTTCGGCGGGGTGCTCACGGTGAGTAGTTTTTTCAATTGGGCTGTGGCTGCGACTGTGGCTAACACTGTAGGTGGGAAGAAGGGAGCGAAAATTTACGAGCGTGTTATATATATGTGCGTGTGTGCACATTCGGGAGAGGCGCACGGGATAGGTGCACAGGAGAGATCGCCCTTTGCGCCCCATCTCTTCAACACGAGTGACCCCTTGCGAAGCGTCATTGTAACGCGACTGCCTCTGCCAAAACTAATGGAGACAATGCGTTTCGTTGTCGAGGCAGCCGCGTTAGATTGATCTGGCAATTCTTTAGTTTACTACTCGCTGTTGCATGCGACGAAGTACGTGAATGAATTGCCCTCGGGTTTAAGAAGCGGGAAAGGGGTCGATTTTAAGAAGCGGGAAAGGGGTCGATTTTAAGAAGCGGAAAGGGGTTGGACATAGAAGCGGTGGAACGGGGTCGACGATGCTGTGAAGAGACGCGCCAAACGCACCTGTCGCTGTCCTCCGAGTGGGCATCACTAAGGCTAATCCTCTTGCGCAGCTTGGCATGGAAATGCAGCAACACATTCTTGGCCTTAAAGTAGGGTATCTTCAGGAGGACCCTGTTCCAGTACACTTCATCTGAGAGGTCCTCACACTGTGAAATCACTTTTTGTTTAATTTTTTCTTCACATGTCACTAACTCTTCATAATTCTTATTTTCGAGGAAGGCTTGTATTTGCTTGTCCGTTTTCGTTTCTAGGTTTTTCAAATCTGTTTCCTTTGCGTCCTTGGCGGGCAGCTCCTTCTCTCGTACCTGATCTAAGAAGTGCCCACAGAAGAACAGGAGGGACTCCCAATAGCGTTTAAATTTCCCACCGTTTTCCAGTGCATCGTGCTGGAGTAATAGCTTTATTTGCTTGGTGCAATTTTCCAGCTCCCATTCGGTTTGCCCTGCGGGGGGTGTTTATGCGTTTATGCGTTCATGTATTTTGGCCTTTGTATATATATGCGTTTACGCGTTTATGCGTGTGCGTGGGGGCAGGTTGGCAGCTTGCGCGGGTGAGTAAACCCACGTGGGGAACTCCTCCAGGGCGTACTTCCATCCAACTATGCTCCCTCCCCCTCCCCATCCTATCATTGTTTTATCCATCTCACTGCGTGCGATGGACTGCCGTGACTCCACCCTCTCAGACGTAACAGAATCAACATGTGTTTTTTCTTTCTGCTCTAGCAAATGTACATTTTTTTTTAAATTTTATATCATCACGGGTGGTGGAGCACGGCTGATAGGGTTGGACTTATCACCCCGGGGTTGCCTCCCCCGCGCACACTACTCCTCCCCTTTTATGGGCCCCTTTTTATAGGCCAAACTTACCCTCCAAAAGGACGTGAAAGGGGATGCGGTAGAGAGCAGGTCGTATCTTCTTCACCTGCTCGCGATTAACAATCATCATGGCCAGCCTAAAAATATCAGGTAGCTGTAGGAAATTGTGTTCTATTCTGATATCAGATGATTTAATTTGCTGGTTAATGAAAAAGAGTTGTTCCTTTTTCAGGTAATCCTTAATGTTGATTTGATTCCTTTGCTTTTCTAACTGCAAGCGATAGTCTTCTAACATGGCTCTTTCATTGTCTCTTTCTTGTCTCCTTTTTTTTACTTGTTCAATTTCACTTATCTTTGCGAGAGAATTTTGGAGCAAGCTGGTTGTGGTTACTTTAACTTTGTGATTATATTTTATTTGATCATACTTATTTTTGAGTTTCCATACGAATGGCGTAGAGAGCGAGTTGTCTCCGAAGGGGTTGCACTCGTCTGTGTAATTGAAATGCTTTTGCATCAGATTTTCTCTCTCCTTTTTGAGTTCTTTAACGGTGAGAGTGTTTTTACTCGGTGGGGAGGGTAAAACTGTTTTCTCCCGTTTCTTCTTCTTGCGTCGGCGTGACTCTCGATCTTTCCCTTTTTTCCGCTCCTTCCTTCGTTTGGCTTTCTCGCGCGCCCGTTCTCCACCGCTGCTGCGTTCACTTCTTTCGCTGCTGCTTTCACTTCTGTCGCTGCTTTTGCTTCTTCTACGTCTCTTCCCCCTGCGTCGCTCTCTTGACGGAGAAGACGACACGGAGTCGGAGGAAGAGCTAACCGATCGGGGGGAAGATGAGGTGGAATATGAAGCGGACGATGGGGAGACAGAAGAGTAGGATGCCTCCCTCTTGGCGCGTCTTCCTCTGCTGGTGCTCCTCTTCTCCCTTGCTCTGCCCCCTTCTCTCCTCCTCTTTTCCTTCCTGTACTCATCACCTTTGTGGGTTACACCCCCGGAGGACTCTTCCTCATCAGACGAATCACTCATTCTTGTAGGTTGAGTTTTGTCTCGTGAGGGGTACCTCCCCCATTGACCAAAACGGTTGCAGGGGAGGGGGTGCTTCTCTTACTGGAAGGTGCGCACAACCTTCATATGTGTAA